TAGTGGAAGTTGAAGATCAGTCTGCAATTAGGAGCGATACTCAGAATCAACATAGAGTGGCGGAGGAAAATGAGCTAAGTCATGCTGCAGCAGAGAGGAGAGAAGAAAGTAGCCAGATAGTGAGTGTGGGAAATTCAAATCTTGGGACTGTTGAAGCAGGTAAGTCTAGTAGCAGCACTTCTAAGCCCTCTTCCTGGATCACTTCTAAACTTCTAGGGTTGGGGAGCTTTTTGGGGATCTCAATGGAGGGAATGGAAGCGGAGACAATGAAGTTCTTGGAAGAGATAGAACAAAGAATTCTGTTGGAAAGGGGTAAGATGGGGGCTAAAAGAGGGGGGACAAACTCCAAGTGGAGCAGAGAAATGATGCGTCTCTCTTGGGGCTTGAATGAGAAGGCTGGGAGCAGTGTTGGGGTGGTAAGGGGGTTGAAGAAAAACTGAGAGGGTGGGGGGAGTGAGTTCTAGGAGTGGGAGGTGCTGTTTCTTCTTTTGGTATATCAATGAGTATTAAAATTCTCTCTTGGAATGTTCGAGGGCTGGGGTCTGGGAGAAGAAGAATGGTGGTTTGTGATTCCTTAAAGGCTTCAAATTCGGGAATTGTATTGATTCAAGAAACCAAATTGGAGAAAATTGATGCTGGTATTATTCGGAGTATTTGGGGAGATGGTCAGGTAAGATGGAGGGCAAAGGCAGCCAATGGGAGTGCGGGAGGCTTGCTATGTCTTTGGGACCCCCTAGTTTGTAATTTGATTTCTTGCAGAAGTGGGAATTTCTCGATCTCTCTGGTCTTGAAGCTGCAGGATGGTAATATAGTTCAAGTCACAAATGTGCATGGTCCAACAGTTTCTAATCTTAGGAGGAGTTTTTGGGAGGAACTGGCTGATATGAGGGAGACTTTGACTCATCCTTGGGTAATTGGGGGAGATTTTATTGTCACCCTGTCGGTGGAAGAGAAGAATACAAGAAGTGGCAGAACTGTATCGATGAGGCAATTTGCAGATTTCATTAATAATATGGATCTAATGGACATTCCCATTCAAGGTAACAGGTTCACTTGGACAAATAACCAGGATACCCCTACCCTGGTCAGATTGGATAGATTTCTTGTTTCCTAAAATTGGGAGGACATTTTTCTGGACTTTAGGCAGGTATCTTTACCCAGACCTGTCTCTGACCACACTCCTATTCAGCTTATTTGTGGAGAGAGGGAGAAGGTCAAAACTCCTCTTAAATTTGAAAACTCTTGGTATGAGGAGGAAACGCTTAGACCATTGATGAAGAAAGTGTGGGAAGAACTTCAAGTGGAGGGTTCCAGTTCCTTTGTTTTGGCAAAAGAAATGACGGCTATTAAAAAAAAGAATTAAAATCTGGAACTTGGAGAATAAGTTAAGGTTGGGGACTGAAAGAAAAGCCTTATTGGGTATTATTGAAGAGATTGATAAAGCAGAAGAAATGGGTCCTATTTCTGAAGAGTTAAGGCTGAAAAGACTTCAAGCAAAAAACAGCATGGAAAAATTGGTGGTGAAAGAGGAATTGAAATGGAGACAACGGGCTAAAGTTAATTGGCTAAAGGTAGGTGACAAAAATACACATTTCTTTCACAAAATGGCTAATGCTAGAGCTAGAGTCTCAACTATTAAGAAGTTGACATGGAATGAGAATTGTGGTGAATCTGATTCAGAGATTAAAGCAGTGGCAACCTCTTTCTATAAAGAACTTTACAAGGAAAAGTGGAAGCTGAGACCATTTCCCTTCAATCTCTCCTTTAGGCAAATGAGTGAGACCCAGGAAAGCTGGCTTGAAAGGCCTTTTACAGAAGAGGAAGTCAGTGCAGCAATTAAGAAGCTTGAAGGTGATAAATCMCCTGGGCCGGATGGTTTTACCAATCTGTTCTATCTGAAGTGCTGGGACTTTGTGAAAGAAGATGTGATGAAGGTGTTCCAGGAGTTTCATGCAAATGCATCCCTACAAAGAAGTCTAAATGCCACT